ATCTAGAAAGCACGGATATTTGCTGAGAGGTCGGTGTGGCAGTGTCTGACACATGTCCGATATGGATACACGTGGAACACGGCTGGACACATGTCCGACGCTTATAAAAGTGCCCTGAATAGTGAAAACAATTTTTTTGAGCTAGATACGGCAAGGATATTTGAGGGATACGATTAACTCAGTTATGAATCGCTAGACTGGTCTTGACTCGGTGGATTCGGACAAACTCGTAACCAAGTCACGCGATTTGTGGTGGGATCGTTTAGATCGGTCAAAAGTAACAAAGAAGAAATTGAAATCAAACTTACCAAATCAAGCCACATCGAGTTTCCCTCACCCTCTTCTTCTTTTTCTTTTTCTTTTTCTTCACCACTTGGTTATGACTCCTATTGCTGCTAGCTTTGATCACAATATCCAGTGAAGTTCTCTATCTGTCTCTCTCTATCTATGTGAACCAAAGAGTCGTCGCTACTGCTGCTAGCTTCGATCGAGATTGCGATCGCCAGGGAAGTTCTCTCTCTCTCCGAAGAGTCGTCGGTGTCTCTCAAGTCGTTATTGAGTCATGTGCCTTTTTTGGGTTTGGGATTATAAAGGGTTTTTTGGATATAGAGGTATTAAAGAGGGTTTTTATTTCTTGAATATGAGGAGTTAAGTGCGTTTACTTATTTATAAAATTTTATTCTATTATTGTCATATTAGTAGATTGTAAATGATACTTTGTATTTTTTTTGGTATTGTTTATTTTAAAAGGACTTTTTTTTTTTTTTTTTGTTTGTATTTTTTATTAACTAACACATTAATTGACCTAGTCATTTAGTTGTCAATATTTTTTAATCTATTTCAATTATAATTAAAAAATTAATATTTGCTAAGTCTTATTAATTATTATTAATGTTGTTATATATATATATATAATATTATTTTAATTAGCCGTATCCTCACCATACCCGTGTCCGTATCTTATCGGATGCGACACTCGTGTCCGTATCCGTGCTTCTTAGATGAAAACATACTCCACATGTCATAGCCACAACAAACAGAATAAACGTGTCAACACCATAGGAAACATATCAAGTATATCATCTTTACGTTGCTATCTAATAGGTCCATAGTCAAAACAAAAATTCTTCTATCTTTGTTGCGACTCGATATCCTTTGAATTTCTCTGAATCTAGGGTTCCTTAACTCTTCAATTCACTAATACCACTCAACTCCTTGTACACAAGCAAAGATTATGCTAACTACAAAGAAAGACTTACATTCAAACTCAGGGAAAGAAGAAATTTTTTTTCACCTTCGTTCTCTGGTAAAAAGAATTCATGATTTGTTTCAAAGCCCACCAATTTTCCCCTCACCTCTTCTTCAACCGGTTTATGCCAAAAGAACTCTTATATACTCACTAAGCTCAAAGGCTGGAGAAACCCCAAGAAGTCGAGTGTTCCTTTTGACTCACCTTTTTCCACCCTATTCCACCAAAATCCCCCTTTGTTTCTCTATTCTTACTTTTAACCACAAATTTTTTCAACACTTCTAAAATCTCATATAAACATTCTATTATCTTGTCATTCTTGAATAAAATTATTTAACTAAAAGCATACTTAACTTTTCAGGGTTTAATTATCATAATTTTAATTTTTAACCCATGGAAATTAACAAATTATACTTTAACTCACAATATTATGCAAAATGCTATGATACGCATGATCGGGTTTTACAATTCTCCCCTTAGCCAATTACTAAAATTTTATTTCTATACATTATTTCTATCTCCAGAAACATGGAAACATTTCAAAAATATTTCGGAAATATAATGAAAATCGATTAAAAATTTGGAAAATTTGTTTCTAAAACATTGGACGTAATATACCGAAACACCTTGATTATTCTGAAACATTGATTTGAAACATCACGAAATACCTTAAAACATTTCAAAACACCTCAAATATTGAGATTTTGAAACAATATGCAATGTGATGAAGGTAAACTTAATTAATACATTATTTTGGATTGTGAGTAACTTCGAAACTCTTATTTGAATTGCTTTCACTATTATGCAATTATATATAAGTTTACATCAGTACACGCATAGGCAAGAATATTGTCTTATATTTTGGATATCTTCCACAATTGTATGACATAATATATTATACATCCATACGTTCTTAGTCAATTAATATTTGTTTTATATTTGTGACATCTTCCCTATTATTTGAATTATCTACATGCATAGTTAACTGTAATTATTTTATGTTTGTGGTTAGAGTTCCAAAGTGAGTTGTAATCCAAAATAACATACAAACTTGTCATGTGGCAAATATTTAAATTTCAACTTATTAAATTATAAGTTTAAAGTTTGAAATAAAGAAATGAAGTATTAGAGAGGCATACAGTTTGGAGTTAAGATTACAATTTGGTGTTGGAAATTTTGGTGATCTAGATCACCAACCTACTCGGTCTAGAGCTGTCCAACCTAGATTGTGGGATGCTTGGGATATTGTGATTTTGGTAGCTTTAATAGTACAGCACTGCAGATGCTTGAAGGGAGCCGGTAAAGGTTTAGCTTTGAGACCCTCTAATTATATAGTAGTTGGTTTTACACATGCAGACTAGGTATGCAAACATCTTAAACATCTTAAGAGGCGGTCTGTGTTATGTTTTTGTAATTTTATGGGTGAAAATTGTGATCTTAAACCACAAAAAATAACAAAAACAAAAGCAAACATATATGACGAATTCGAAGTTGTAACCAAGAATCACCTATTGGTTATTATACTCGATTCATATCTAAAAAGTTTATTTGGTCCTTCGCCAAATGGGGCTAAAACTCCAAGACCTTAATGTCAAAGCACTCCACCCAATAGCATGAACATAGGGTGTCAGTTGAAACAATCGTGGTGATGTTGCGTATCAGAAAGACTTATTTGAGAAGACCAAGTGCTTTGAAGTTGACTGCCATTTCGTTTGGAATAGAGTGGTGAAGAAGCAAGTTGTTACATCTTCTGCTTGGTTAAATGCTCATCTAGGAGTCATGTTTACATAGGCTACAAGGGTTTTTGTTTCGGGAGGGGGAGATATATGTGAATTTTTCCTCACAATTATATACGTAGATTGCACGACACAACCTAGGGGGTGAATAGGTTTTTAAACTTTATGGTTAGATAACCACCAATTTTAAACTTATTATTACTGTAATTACCTCTTCTTACAAAGATTAATCAATTAATGGTTAGAACCTTTTTTTAGCCACAGCGACCTCATGAACCCATGGACATTAGTTTATTGATTTTAACAATTAATCACTTAACACTCAATCTTATTTGGGGATTCCAACCCAATGACCCAAACCTTTGAATGCATACCTATGGATGATTAAAGATATTCAAACATTCATTCAATCAAACACATAGTGCGCGTGTTGCTCAAATTGCAAGTGTGTATGAAAAATACAATAAAGAACACAAGCAATTTGTTGACACGAAAATCCTTTTCGGAAAAACTGCTGAAAACTTTCTCGGTTCACCAAAATCTAATCCATTACACCAAAATCAGCTTACAATTACTTGAATATTATACTTCAATTAATATCATAGTTAGATGTTCTCTTCTTTAAATAAGTCTCTTCGCCAAAGTATCTTTTTGACGTCTTGGGTAGTTTTACTTGGATTGTCTACTGCAATAGATCTTCTAGGCCTCGAGTAATCTTGGGTGCACCAATGATTCTCGGTATGCACACTCTAATGGATTTGGTCTTCAACCAGTCAAGATTTTCTTCACCAAGTTGTGAGGTTGAATAAGAATCACTAAATAGTAGCCTTGGGTCTTAGGGATCATAGGGTTGTGGTAGAAGATAAAATTTCTCTCAAAATACTCACAAGAGGCTTACCATAGGTGTTGGAAAAACTTTCCTTATTTATAGGTTTGGAATATGGGTAATCTTGATTAACAAGAAAATTCAGATTTGCGAACGACCACTTGAGCCGTTAGAGGGTGGTTATAGGGCGATGGTTACTGGAATGAAAATGAATTTCAAACTGACCTAGAAAAGCAAGATCGCTCAAGCGACCAGGGGATTGCTCAAGCGACCAGGGGATTGCTCAAGCGACCTCAAAGGGTGACCCCTGTTGTCCTTTGTTTTGCCTTTGCCCATTTTTTTCCTAAGTCATGAAGAGACCGTTTTAGCGAAGGCTAACGAGCATAAGGTAGTTTCTATTAGTTTTTTAAGCTTAAAATTAAGTAAAAACTTGTCCTCTTGAACATTAAAGGGTGTTGTTCAATGAGATCCGATGATGGTTTAATTCTATGTTTTCAAAATGTACAAGAAATTGAAATTTTTTTTTCTTTTAAGAACACCTAAGAGCCAATATGATTTCATTTTAATAGTAATCCTACTAAGTCTATTAAACTCAGGGATTATCTTAGGTATGTAGGTCATTACCTTGTCTTAAGCAAGAAGCTACATGCAGAGTGCTTTTGATGTAGAATTGACACATGAATTTCTCCCCTCAAATAATGTTTTCGAGTTTTCATTGTTGTAGCATCATGACCATGAAATATGTTGAGATTTGAAACAAGCTTGACATGCTAGGCATCTGTGTTTTTTTTTTCCAATGGGCCTTTGGTCTAATGGTACTCCTTACCTTGTGAAAGTTTTGCCTTCTTGAGGTCAAGGGGTCAAGCCCTTTTTCCCCTTCTCCTCCCAAAAAAATAATAAAAATAAAGGTATCTATGTTTTAGATTGAGGATGAGTGTTATTGAGTATTTTATGGATATTTTTGTGGTTTTAACTTTACTTTAGGCTAAACACTATATAAGGTGGAGAACCACCAAACTAGTGACTTTGTAACACCTTCTCTTCCACCTTTCCTTCTCTCGAACATTCCTAACATTTACAACGTAAGAGTAAATGATGACATGGCTAATGATAGAAAATGAATATATTTTTCCTACCAATGCTTTTTCAAAAGTTTCCAAACAGAATTGACACCCTTTTTAGTTGGCATATGTCTGGACTTTTATCATACTCGCCACCTTCAAATTCTGTCAAGACAATGCGTTTTTGTGTGGTGTTTCAGGGGGCAGATGCATATGAAAGTGCTGAGTCATTGTCAAGGGAAGAGTTAGGTCGTCGTGTTGCTTCTCGTTGGACAGGGGAAAAGACCGAACAGCAAACGGAAGAAGTTAATGCTGCAGAGGATGATGATCATGAAAATCATGAAGAGACACCAAAGGATACACATGGTGAGGAGTATAATGGTTATGACTCAGAAACTGATGATGAGCACCAAAGATATGATGAGGATGACCCTGAAGAACAGGTGGAAGAAATTGGTGGGCAGGATCACGAAGATTCGAGCTCTTCATACAAATATGAGTCAGATGATGAATCAGACTTGTCAGGTATATAAATAGATATTTCATTTTTACCGAGGAAGTGTAAATCTATTGTCAATATTTTGTTCTGCATCTACATCCACCTTTTTATTTTGTTTTTCTTAGTTACTCGTATTTATTGAATTTATTTGGTCAGATATAACTGGCACAAGTAACCCATCTTGGCTGGAGAAGATTCAACAAACTGTGCGTGACATTCTACAGGCTGTCAATTTATTCAAAACTCCAGTAAATATATCTGGTATCAATAGAGGTTCTATTTTTTTTGGGCACAAAAGATAGAAAGAATGGATGTGTATGGGCTTACCATTGCATTTGATTCTGTAGAGGCTGCAAATGTGCGCAAAGAATACGATGAGTCTAGTGCCAAGCTGTCTAAAATTGAATCGAGGATATCAAGTTTAACAAAAAAGCTAAAACATGATTTTGGTAAGTTGATTGCAGAAACATACATGCATCTGTGCTCTGGTTTTGATGCAATGAGAGTAAAATAATGGCTTTGCTTTCATATGCTGAACTGAATACTTAATGTCAGGACCAGAGAAGGAGTTCTATTCATTCTATGGTCAATGTTTTGAGAGCAAGCAGAACAAGTTACACACTTCCCATTTTCTTCTTGCTATCCTGTGTTTCTACTTGCAAGAAAAAAATATCTTAAATGATTCATGCCTTTTTTTTTTTGCTTTCAGATATGTCTACAAGATCTGCCCTTTCAAACAAGCTTCACAAGTCGAGGGCTACAGTACAACTCGTTTGGGGTAGGCGTTTTCATGTTATTTTGTTCTTGCCCTGACATTCTCTCGAGTTCTTTATTTTGCTAGTTCAGATTATTAGTTTGTGGACTGCAAGGTGAATGCAATCGTGATGTTTAGGTTCAATAGTTTTCTCATGCTAAGTTGGGCTCGAGCTAGTAGGTCTAAAATGAACGACACTGGTGTCCTGACTACTGACTGTCCATCAATCAAATCGCTCTGTGGTGGTAATCATATATATATGCTAGAAACAGAACCTTGAAATAGTAAAGATAGATGACGTAACATGTTCAACTTCAAGGGAGGATCTTATCTGGGTCTACTATTGATTAATCCAATCCTAAGCATATGCTTTTATGTCCATTTTCTGAATATAGGAACTGGGATAAATTTGATGATTCGTATAGAATCATGCAATTTTCAAATGGCGATAAATGCTGGAATGGTCCCGATAGAAGTCTAAAGGTACTGCTTTCATCTTATAATATGTAGGGCCATGTCCTCATTCACTGGCTTATTGCGATGTGATTAATTGCCTATCTACCATTTATCTCTTTCAATCAGTATCAAGTTAATTTGTCCTATCTGTGACATAGTTCTGGGTTACCATGTGTGTCGAAATTGTTTAATCCCAGCTGTACAGGACAACTGCAATTAATGAACATAGATTGTTGATCCTGCTCAAACTTTGTAGAAAGGAAGATGCTTCTTTTTAGATTCCTGTCATCATCTTTTTTCATTCTTCTGTTTTCTATATTATGCAGGTCAAGTTAAGATGTGGGTTGAAAAATGAGGTTACTGATATAGATGAACCAAGCCGTTGCGAGTAAGTCTCTTTCTCTCTCTCTCTCTCTGTCTGTGTGAAAGTTCCTTGTCGTCTAATTTTTTTATTCGTCATGGCAGGTATTTAGCATTGTTATCCACCCCTGCCCTTTGCCTGCAAGAAAAACTAAAGGTGCTTAGTTTTATTTTTTTGTTTTATTTGATTTTATTTATCCCAAATTCTACATATCAGCGATTCTTTTCCAGCGTCTTGTATCACCACTTATATTGGGGCTTGTGATTGGTTACTTATTTTGGGCAAAAACAAACCAATGGAAAAATCAAGGAAATCCATGTCATTCCATGCAAGTGGGTGACACAAGACAGTTATAATCTAGATCTTTCGTCTTTCTTTTTCATTCCTTTTCTTTCTTCCTCTCTTTTCATTGTACTTTATTTTCCTTCCTTGGTAATTGTGATCTCAATAATTTCCTTTTGCACTGCAACCTGTAACGGGATTGGGTGTTTTATGAATTTTTGCTAGGAACTACAAGATAAACTAGACTTGATGAACGAGCAACAACCACAGGGTCATGATGAACTTTGAACCTTTGGGATAAATCTTTTTGGGAACGCAGAGTATGCTGACCTCCTAAACTGAATCTTTTATTCAGGAAAATCATTTGTTTGCCTACTGAGCTTCAGGACTACTCGAGGCAACCTTTTTTGCAGGTTGTCTTGAAGAGTTACTAGCAATAGGTGTAGTCACCTCTTTTATATGTTCTTATTCTGGAGCTCACTTCATATTACAGACTGTAGTGTGCCATTCTTCACGAAATGTGAACCGAGGGTTTCTACCAGGCAAATGGCGAAAAAAAAAAGCGAGGGTAGGAGTGAGACTTGAGAGCTTAGAGCATTTACTCTGTTGATCTTGTTGTTTTTGAACTGAATTAGAAGAATAATACTAACAAAGTATGATTTACAAGAAATGGCATTACTTTTCTGTAATTTGTTCTTCGAGATTACATAAAGATCAATGACAGTATTATCATTAGAAGCTTCTAATGCAACAGTTATATTGGTTGACTGATGTTTATGTTATTCTAAAGCATGATGTCAGTGTTCAAGAGTGTCAGTCGCCTTCTTTTGTGTTCAACATCTTGCCTTCACTTTATGAAAATTTCTGAATATTTGTCAATCTGTGTTCCCATGGTATTTGAAAGGCTCTCCAAGTTCTGGAAGAAAAAAGGCTCTGACGTGAGTGGGTCGCCAATACAACTTTTTCGGCCCTTCGACTTGGATGAAGAATTAGTACGTCTTTTTAACGAGAAAATAATTAGACTTGACATTCGGCTCAATGGGGCAGATAAAAAGTGCCCCAAAAGTGGTGGCCTTGTGGACCTTCTTTGCGTTTTTACTCTAGTAACAACGTCGTCAAGTTTTTAGTTGGAATGGAGACGGAGAGGGGGAGGTTTGAAGTTGGGTTGTTCATTCGGAATGGAGCCTGACCTGCGATTTGTCCAGTTTTTGCCCAATTTATATAGGTTTTTTCTAATTATGTTCCAATCTAATACAAACCAATTAGCGTTCTGATGCTCTTTCAATAAATATGTTTGGAAAGTATATAACTTGTTGGGATGATAATATCAATATGATAAATTATTTATCATAATTCTAAATTGATCTTAACACATACAAATAAATTAAACAGTAACACAAAAAACAGTTTATGCAATTAAGAATACAACAGTAACACATAAGACCAAAACAGTAAAGCGTAAGAACTACAATAAATAAAACTAACCTGAACGTAGACCAACAACNATTAAACAGTAACACAAAAAACAGTTTATGCAATTAAGAATACAACAGTAACACATAGGACCAAAACAGTAAAGCGTAAGAACTACAATAAATAAAACTAACCTGAACGTAGACCAACAATGCAAATTAAAATTTTAAATTAAGGCTAGTGTTTGACATTATATCTTCAAGAAATATTTTGCCTTCTTTATCACACTGGTACTAATAGAAATATTAGCGTCTGTCTCTTAGGGTACAATAATTTTCACTCAAACAAAAGTACCACTCTAATTTATTTGCCTGGTGAACCAAATTGTGTTGTGTATTCTATATTTTGAAGACTCTTAAAAATGATGAATGTAATGATTTTGATAATCTCGTATCTTGCAAGTGCAGAATGCTAATGAATTTGAGTTATTTATAGATGTAGAGGTTGACTGTTTGAAATTTCTACCACTAACCAAGTGTAACTCAGAAGACATCATTCGTGTTTGCCCATTCATGAACAGATACAAAATTCAAAATCGGACTGTAGGAAAATTCAAATTCGGGTAAAGAAATTGAGGACCAATTTAGGAAATAAATTTTCTTCAAAATGATAAGATTAGATCTGAACCACATTTGTGCCTGAAACCCGTCAAATCTTTCTTGTCCAACCAATGTGAGATTAATGTCAATCACACATTGTTTGAACTTTTATTTTCACATTCCAATAAGATCACTTAGGAACATATTTTCTCATTCATGTCTTATTCTATTTGAGCATGTGAATATATTAGCGTCATTCTTCTCACGGAATATAACACTCTTCTCACGGAATATAACACAAACTCGTGAAAAATTATTTAAAATGATAAGTGGATCCCATTTTATTTTAGACTCAAAGTCAACAAAATATCTATATTTTATCCGACATAAATGTCTCTCCAGCTAAACGATTTACTATTGATGGGCTAAGCCCAAAGACCTAACTCATGTTATAAGTCCAGTTCAAGTTTATAGTTTNTAATGACAAAAAATGATAAGGTCACTAAATAAGTTTTATGTAGCATTGCTTAAAATTTTATCAAGAAAAACTCTCTTGCTTTCAATTTAAGGTTGAGTAACATTCAACTTGTCGTTTGAGTATCAATCACCTATTATTTAGCATTGAATAAAAAAATTGTTTAGCGGGAGGGGGTGCTTACCCACTTTCAAAATATACTTAAGCCCCGTTTGATTAGAAAGAGATTAATGATAGAAAGTGAAAACGGTAAAAAGTGAAGTGAAAGAAAAGAAATGAAAAAAAAATNCACTCTTCTCACGGAATATAACACAAACTCGTGAAAAATTATTTAAAATGATAAGTGCATCCCATTTTATTTGACTCAAAGTCAACAAAATATCTATATTTTATCCGACATAAATGTCTCTCCAGCTAAACGATTTACTATTGATGGGCCAAGGCCAAAGGCCTAACTCATGTTATAAGTCCAGTTCAAGTTTATAGTTTGATTCCAAGAGATCCAGTAAATTCAGCTCAGTGTGGCCAACTCAGTTAAGTTTATCAGCTTAACCCGTTCAAACTCATTGGTGTGGTCAGTCCGGTCAAGCTCAACAGCTCAAGAAGCTAAGGGAGCAAGCAAGGTCATCCAAAGCCCTATCCTCGCTGCCCTGGAGATGGTCAACACCCCACTTTATCATTTGATCGAATCTTATGGAGAGCACTGCAACTGCCTAGCACGTTAAGAAGAGCTCGCCAGATCCAACAAACTAGCTAACTACTTACTAATATCTTGCCCAAATCTATTAGGAGGGNAAACGATTTACTATTGATGGGCCAAGGCCAAAGGCCTAACTCATGTTATAAGTCCAGTTCAAGTTTATAGTTCGATTCCAAGAGATCCAGTAAATTCAGCTCAGTGTGGCCAACTCAGTTAAGTTTATCAGCTTAACCCGTTCAAACTCATTGGTGTGGTCAGTCCGGTCAAGCTCAACAGCTCAAGAAGCTAAGGGAGCAAGCAAGGTCATCCAAAGCCCTATCCTCGCTGCCCTGGAGATGGTCAACACCCCACCTTATCCTTTGATCGAATCTTATGGAGAGCACTGCAACTGCCTAGCACGTTAAGAAGAGCTCGCCAGATCCAACAAACCAGCTAACTACTTACTAATATCTTGCTCAAATCTATTAGGAGGACGATTATAAATTGTAAGCCCCACCAATATTTGGGAGGTAGATCATACTTTATCTGAGCACGACTCTCTCCTCTACCTCAAAGCTTGTACTTTCTACTCCCCACACTCTTGAGCTAATAAAATACTTGGCAACTAGAGTCATTGAAGAGTGGACGTAGGTTGAGCTGACCGAACCACTATAAATTGCCTGTGTCTCTCTATCTCCTGATATTATTTTCTTGTATTCATTATTCACACTTGACAGGTGGTGTGCAAAATCATTTTGTGCATCATCAACTATAATAAAATTTAGAGCTTTGACTGACGTTCTTTTGTTATTCTCCCATCAACCTGTATATGCTATCTCACCAAAACATTTTATGAAAATGTTCACTCCTTGGCAAAATTTTTTATCCAATTTTCAATACTTCAAACCTGTTATAGAGCCTAAATTCCCTCTATAGATTACTATTCACTCTATTCCCTGATCTTTTCTTTGGCTTATTTTAGTTGCATTATTTTATGAAGGATCATCAATCTTTCTAGTCGTTAATTAGGATAAATCTCTGGATTACTTAATAACATGTTCTCATTGATATATTTAATAGATGAAGGGAACGTCGTCCTTGTTTTTTGCTGTGCTGAACCATGCAGCAAGAAAACATTATGTTGGATAAAATGATGAACGGAGTAATATATATATATATATTACAAACAAGTGCCATTGCCAAAGTAACCAAAAGTTTTAGGAAAATGTTTATATATAATTTAGTGATATGATGGATCATAACCATTCAATTGATAGTGGGTCTCAACTAATAGTGGAGTCTACTGTCAATCTAATGACAAAAAATGATAAGGTCACTAAATAAGTTTTATGTAGCATTGCTTAAAATTTTATCAAGAAAAACTCTCTTGCTTTCAATTTAAGGTTGAGTAACATTCAACTTGTCGTTTGAGTATCAATCACCTATTATTTAGCATTGAATAAAAAAATTGTTTAGCGGGAGGGGGTGCTTACCCACTTTCAAAATATACTTAAGCCCCGTTTGATTAGAAAGAAATTAATGATAGAAAGTGAAAACGGTAAAAAGTGAAGTGAAAGAAAAGAAATGAAAAAAAAAATTATTTTTTTGTATGTGTTGATTAGAATGAAAAGTTTGCTAGAGAAATATAAACAAATTTATGTAAGTACTAAATTATCCTTTAATATTAATCTAACACATACGCAGGTGTAAGTTAGATAAATTTTAACACAATACTATTTAAACATAACACGAATAATACTTATTTACAACTCTAGTTCAATTGATTAAAAAAAAGTAACATTTGTAACAAAAATATCTGTTTCTTTTTATTTTGTTGTGAGCAAAATATCTAAATTCTTCTCACTTCTCTTGCTGAAATGGGTAACATGTTAAGTGGGCAAAACATGAAACAAGATAAGTTTCTCATGAAAAAAAATTTCCCTCCATAGTTTAAATGAAAGTGACTGTTTGCAAGAAAATTTGGGTTAGATTGGAAATTATTTTTAAAAATGTTTTTTGTGCAAAAGCTCAATTGTATTTTGCCAATGAAAAGAATCATAGTTTTTTTTTTGTTTTGGTTTAAGTGGCTACATAACAAAGTAATGAATGATTAGGAATTTGT